GGGGACAATTTGCATATTAGCCTTTTATTATATAGGATTACATAGGATGTGGCAAAAGAGGCTTTGCAGGTGTAGTTAAGTTGAGGATCTTCAGATGGGGAGAGTATCCTGGATTATCCAGGTGGGACCAATATAATCACAAGAGTTCTTATAAGACGGTGGTTCTCAACCTTGGCTGCACATTAGAATCACCTGGGAATCTTTTTAAAATCCTGATTTCTGGGCCTCATCCTCCGGAAATTCTGTTTCTTTGTTACTAATGTTGTGGCCCCACCCCATAACAAAGAAACAGAATTTCTGGAGGGTGAGGCCCAGAAATCAGGATTTTAAAAAGATTCCCAGGTGATTCTAATGTGCAGCCAAGGTTGAGAACCACTGCATTAAAAGGTACTGATTTTAAAAACTAACACCTTAAAAACTGCCCCCCCACACACACACAAAAAAACACAAATGGTCCACAAAACATTTTCTTTTCCTTCTGAAGGTTTTATGATGCATTGTAATCAATAACCAGCCTTTTACTATTAAACTTAAATGCCAATTGAGACAAACATTTCTGAGGCCGTTCTTCCACCACTGATTAAGACTGGGGTGGCAGGTATTGGGGATAATATTCATTTAGCCTTCTGAGCTTTCTGGGCAGACTTGGTGACTTTGCCAGCTCCAGTTGCCTTCTTGTCCACGGCTTTGATGACACCCACAGCAACTGTCTCATGTCACGAACAGCAGAACAGCCCAAAGGAGGGTAGTCAGAGAAGCTCTCAACACACATGGGCTTGCTAGGAGCCATATATATAGATGATGGCAGCATCACCAGATTTCAAAAACCTGGGGCCATCTTCCAGCTTTTTCCCAGAACGACAACCAATCTTCTCTTTCAGCTCAACAAATTTGCAAGCTATATGAGCGGTGTGACAATCCAGCACAGGTGGATAGCCAGCACTGATTTGGCCTGGATGGTTCAGGATAATCACCTGAGCTATGAAGCCAGCTGCTTCCATTGGTGGGTCATTTTTGCTGTCACCAGCCACACTGCCATGACAAGCATCTTTGACAGACATGTTCTTGACACTGTCCCAGGAAGAGCTTCATGCAAAGCTTCATGGTGAATTTCAATAGGCTTCACTTCAGTTGTAACGTTGACTAGAGCAAAGGTAACCACCATGCTGGTTTGAGAACACCAGTCTCCACTAGGCCCACAGGGACAGTAGGCATATCACCAGTTTTATAGACATCCTGGAGGGGCAGATTCAGGGGCTTGTCAGTTGGACGAGTTGGTGGCAGGATGCTATCTAGATCTTCAAGCAGTGTGGTTCCACTGGCATTGCCATCTTTACGGGTGACTTTCCATCCCTTGAACCAAGGCATATTAGCACTTGGCTCCAGAAATTGGCACAAATGGTACCGTGTCAAGATTGTAGCCAATTTTCTTAATGTAGGTGCTGACATCTTTAACAATTTTCTCGTAGCTTTTCTGGCTGTAGGGTGGCTCAGTAGAATCCATTTTGTTAACACCAACAATCAGTTTCACACCCAGTGTGTAAACCAGAAGGGCATGCTTCTGGGTCTGCCCATTCTTGGAGACACCAGCAGCAACAATCAGGACAGCACAGTCCGCCTGGTATATGCCTGTAATCATGTTTTTGATGAAGTCTCTGTGTCCTGGGGCATCAATGATGGTCACATAATACTGGCTGGTCTTGAATTTCCATGGGGAGATATCAATGGTGATATTCAGCTTTCAGTTTATTCAAGACCCAGGCATACTTGAAGGAGTCCTTCCCCATCTCCGCAGCCTCTTTCTCAAATTTTTCAATGGTTTTTTTGTAAATCCCACTCTGATTTATAGATCAGATAGCCAGTAGTGGTAGACTTTCTAGAATCTACACCTGTCCAATGATGAAGATGTTCATATGAGTCTTTTCCTTTCCTATTTTGGGTTTAATTTAGTGGTGGTTTTCACAACATCTGTGTTATGGCAGCGAACCCTTTGCAAAAAAGCCAGTTTATTCTTGTATTTTGTTTATAATTTACTGCATTATTTCCCCTACAAACAACTGTAAACATACTTTTGCCTCACTCTGTATTGAGCTGTTTCATAGCAGTGTTGTTTTCACAGCTATACTGTATTACTGTTAAGCTGTGGCACTAAATAAAGTTTTCTTCTTCACTGCATCCAAAATTGGGAGGTCCCATTGCATTGGCACCAACATCGGTCGACACCTTTGTTTGGGTAGATACCCCACAGATCCCCTGGTGTGACATTTCCCTCATTGCAGTGGATCAAACCTGAATCTGTTGAACAATGGTTTTATTTTTGGAGGTATTAGGATGATTGGGCAAGGGCAGTGAGCATTGAAGGTTTTCATAGTCCGAGCCTACACACAAAGTCAAAACCAGAGGAAGGGTTTCTAATTATCTTTCGCTGTTCTTTCATAGCACTGCAGAGCCACTTCCATGGGAGAGCCATTATGGCATCCTTCTAAAAATAGAAGGCAAAATCAACTGTGGAGTGGTTTTCTTTAGATATGTAAACCACAAATTTATCCCGGCCCTTTGAAGCTATCTTCACACTCCAGGGTCCTCATTCTTCCAGTGTTGAAACTGGTAAGTTCTTTTGTTCATTACGGAGGAGGAAGGACCTCTGATTGATTGACAGCCTTCTCCCACCTCACACTATTTATTCTTCCACATTTCTCCTCAGAAGAAATTTTTTTTCTTTTCTTTTCTTTTTCCTGTCTTCTGAAACCACTCTCTCAGGAAAGAACAACTATTAAACTAGAGAGCATGTCCCACCCTTCATTCAAATCTTCCCTTTTCTGGTCAAGGCTGGCTACGAATCCATTTTATCTCCAGACCAAAGAGAAAGCAAACATTCCTTATTGGAATATGGTATTTTACTTAAACAAATGAAAAAAAAAATGACAACGTGGTTTTAACAAATCCATTGTTCCCTAGAGAAAGCTAAGTGCGTCGCTCTGCCTCAGCTCGGGATTGCTGCCGTCTGGCGCCAGCGGGAGCCGAGGCCGGGTGACTAAACCCGGAGCGAGCTGCCAGCAAAACTTGAATCCGCGACCGCCGGGCGAAAAGCG